GGGGTCATTTTGTGGGCCGCTTTTCCGGGAAAAGGTTGGAAAAAAAAAAAAAAAAAAAAAAAAAAACATTGTTAAAGGGTTAATAGAGGAGCCATGTTGTGATGACATCCTGAAGGCAGTTTCAGAAAGAGCAGGAGTTTTTAAAGAGACAATCTCAAGGCGTTAAATTACAAAGTCAAATTTATTTTAAGTCATATTTGATATATTCAAAATGTTTGTAACAGCTGAAGGTAACAGTTACTTGATTGTGCTATAAAAAGGCACTATGTGCCTACATAATGCTGCCTCTTTAATATCACATTCATGCGCATGTTGAGTGTTGGTACTGATAATTTTACCAAATTACAGACTCATGAAAATCCTTAGTCATGATCTGAAGTCAGGTGAGAAAATAGTATCAGATTCGTTTATTTTATTTTTACATAAGAAAAATATCAAAAATATTTACATCAAAAACTAGAAATAAAAAGAAAATGTAAAAGTAAAAATGTACATCAGTCCAACGTCTATACAGTCTACAAACCGAAACGCATGTTTCCATCCTGATGCAGCTTCTCCTCCAGCATGGCGGCTCTCCTGCTCACAGCAGGGCTGCATGGCGGTTTCTACAGATCACAAGGCGCTTTGGTGTCTTAGCTGGGTTTTAGAGGAGCTGGGGGCAGACTAGCCGAGGCCTGTTCCAGGAAGGCCAGTGGTCCCGGAGGAGGAAGGTCTGTGGGTTTACGATGCTGACCGCTAACGTCCTCCAGCACCTGCTGCCAGTGGTGCAGCTTGGCCAGATGCTTCTGAACCAGCAGTTCTTTCCTCTGCAGCTCATTACGCAGGTCCGACACGTCCTGGAGAGAGAGAAGAACTGGACTTGAGAGAAGAGAAGCCACAGTATAATGACAGCAAGAAACTAGCAACCCATAAATATCAGTTTGGTCCAAATGTTTACCTCTTTCAACACCTGCTCTGGTTTCTGCACAGAAAGCTGAAGCCTCTTCTGTAGGAAGAAGCACTCCGTCTGCCGAGCCACATCCAGGAACTTCTGGATGCACTGGTCCACGCCTTCAACATAAACATGAACGCTTTGAAACACACACTACCACAAGCAAACCATTCCAATATAACAATGCAGCAGACTGACCGGTTCGAATCTCCTCCTGATCCGTACCGTTCACATAGTCCTGACTAACTAACGATGAAAAACAAGCCTGGAAGATAAACAGAGCAGCGATCAGGGAGAAACTATCAGAGACTTAAAGTGGGAAAAAAAAAAAAAAAAAAAAAAAAAAAAAATTTTTGGAATAAACTCTTTTTTTAGTATTTTTTTTGAAACTTTCCTCC